GCCGCTCAGCGTGACTACGAGCTTCACTCACTGGACTTCAGCACAGCCTTCTTACAGGGCAGCCTACACGAGGAGATCTGGCTGCGCCGCCCACCTGGCTTCACTGGGTCGTTCCCGCCTGGTACCCAGTGGAGCCTCCGGCGGCCAGTCTACGATCTCCGCCAGGCGCCTCGTGAGTGGCACGGCACACTGAGGACTACTCTTGCGGCTCTTGGGTTTGCTCCTTCGACTGCTGACCCGTCGCTGTTTTTGCGCACCGACACTTCGCTGCCGCCGTTCTACATCTTCGTGTACGTCGACGACTTGGTCTTTGCCACTGCTGACACTGAGGCTCTCGCCCTTGTGAAGTCGGAGCTGCAGAAGAGACATACGTGCACAGACCTGGGTGAGCTGCGCAGCTACCTTGGCTTGCAGATCACCCGGGACAGAGCACGCCGCACCATCACTCTGACTCAGTCACACATGGTGCAGCAGGTCCTTCAGAGCTTCGGCTTCACCTGGTCCTCGCCACAGTCCACTCCTCTGGCTACAGGTCACTCGCTCTTAGCTCCACCTTCGGACGAGTCCGTAGAGCCGAATGGTCCTTACCAAGAGTTAGTGGGCTGCCTCATGTACCTGATGACCTGCACTCGTCCTGACCTTGCGTACCCTCTTGGCCTTCTGGCCCGCTACGTGGCTCCTGGTCGACACCGAAAGGTGCACTGGGATGCTGCGAAGAGGGTACTGCGCTACTTGTGCAGTACATCGGGCATGGGGCTCGTGCTTGGAGGGCGGAGAGACGTGGTTCTCACTGGGCACTCGGACGCTTCTTGGGTTGACGACCAGGCTACACAGCGGTCGTCACAGGGTTACACTTTCAGCCTTGGCTCCGGTTCTGTTTCTTGGCGTTCTACTCGCTCGTCTTTTGTTCTCAGCTCCAGTTGTGAGGCTAAGATCTACGCCACAGCCATGGCTGCACAAGAGTTACGCTGGCTCACTTACCTGCTGACTGACCTGGGAGAGCGGCCTCATTCTCCTCCAGTGCTGTACGTCGACAACAAGGCCGCCATTGCCTTGTGCGAGGAGCAAAGACTGGAGCACAGAACGAAGCACATCGCTCTGCGTTACTTCTTGGCTCGAGAGTTGCAGCAGCGGGGTCAGCTTCGCCTTGCTCACGTGGCCACCCGGGCCAACACTGCTGATATATTCACCAAGGCGCTTTCGTCTGGTGATCATCAGCGCTTTTGTACCCTGTTAGGCCTTGTGCCTACGTTTCCACACTTGCTGTAGACTCTGCTTGTACTGTGATCTATATATATCTGCATGCTTGCTCTTGCTAGGTAGAGATCACTGTGCTGTTCTTGTTGCATATATACTTCTGCATGTGAACTGGCCTTGTGGCCCTTTGCTTGTGCTCAGAGTGTGTGGTGACGTTGTGATCCACCCTGAGCTTGCTTTGCTTCTCTAGACTGGTCTTGTGACCCCTTGCTCTCCCCCACTTTGCCTATGGGGGTGTGTCAAACTATATTTGTTATACTTGTGTAGGCTGTAGTGGGGTAGCCAATATGGGGTACAACCCCTCTAGGGTTTGTTACTTGTACCCAACCTTCTTTCAATGCATTCATTCTTGCCTAGACTTTCTAACACACCACCCCCCCCGCCGCCACCTCCCCCTCTCTTGCCTCCCTTGCTCTTGCCGTTGCGGCGCTTCCCACTAGGATTAGAAGCAGAGCTGGCCTCCTCAGCACCCAAGGAAGTCGACAGCAGCAGCAGAAGCAACAGAGGGGGCAAGAGGGGAGGGGGAGCACCCCTCAAAGAAGGGAGTGCAAGGAGTGCCACGAGTAGCACCTACAGCGACTACACTAGTCTCAGCTGCAAGGAGGTGCTTCTCGAGCAGGTCGATAGTGAGGCCGGTGGGGTCAAGGGCGAGAAATTGGTCCCTGACTGCGTGAAGAGAGTCAGGGAGGCGAGTGACAATAAAGTAGAGAGTGATGTAAATCGGGGGCTCGTTCTTGGGGAGGAACCCGGCTTTAAGTGCGGCGCTATAGCGAGCGTCACTAGTGTGAAGGTGGGTGATGAGGTCCTCTACTGTGGCGAAGGAGGACAGCTCGGAAAATAGGTAGGGCAGCATAAGACGGCCGAGAGTAGCAGTGGCAGGGGAGGAGAAACGAGCATGTCGGAAAGTCTAGGCAAGGATGAAGAAACAGGCAAGAAGGGTTTTCACTAACAAGCATAGGGATACATATAGCAAACCCTAGAAGGGCTGTACTCGCTATAGAGTACCCCACTGCAGGCTAGACAACCATCACATTCTGACAGGCGCGACGCAGGGTAGGGCGCACGCGGGTGGGGCGCGACGCAGGGCAGGGGCAAGGCAGGGCAAGGCTGGGCAACGGGTGGGGCAGCGCTACGTGCAGGAAAGATTAGGTGGGCCCTAACGACGACGGTCCTGGAACAGGATCTGCTCTGAAACCATGTCAGAATCTAGCAGCAGGAATGAATGAACTAGCAGGAAGTTTGGTACAAGTACTAACCCTAACTGGGTTGTACCCCATATTGGCTACCCCACTACAGCCTACAAATCACAATGTTTTGACAGTTACACGTCAGGCTGCAAGAATGCCAGCTCATAGTGATTGGACGCGCAGGGTGTGAGGTCCTCAAAGTCAATCGAAGCGAAAGTGGTTGTGTCCTTGCTGCAAAATTGGATTTAGTTACCGTATTAATCAAGATTTAAAATTGAAATTAGACACGCGCTTATATTCAGTCAGGGTTTCACAAGGGGTGCGCTTATACGTAACTGAGGATGAGCCATAAGCGCATTGCTCCATATATAAGCGCATGCGCTTTTAATAGGCCTGCGCTTATATCCGGGGTGACACGGTATTTGTAAACAAGAACAGCCACCAAACATACACCCAAGCTCAGAAGCGATGCCCTATCTTTGATCACAGGTGCCTCCTAAAAGAGTATAATAAACCCACTGGGAAGGAAAAACATTATCACCACCACACTCCTGCAAGCTTGCAAGTCGATTCACGGCATGCTTATGAGGAATGAAGCTCCATGAGCACGGCTGCACAGCTGCACGCAGCATGTGACGCCGAAACCCGAATGATGGGGGTATGCAGTCATGCGGTGGGAGTCCGGGAGATGTGGGGAAGAGGGTCGGGGGGAGATGCAGTGAGAGGAGGGAGCAGATTTACAGAGCAAACGAAATCAGAGTACAGCGTGGTAGAGCGTGCATGGGCAGGGAGGGGGAGAATGATGAGAGGAGGGGGAGACGAGAGGAACGTATTGCGAGCAATTTCCGAGATAAGGCCGAGAAATTCATGCTTGATCTTCTTCTCAACCTGCTCCCCACTCACCCCGCGCCTCTTCCCCACTCACCCCACACCTCTCTCCCACTCACCCCACACCTCTCTCCCACTCACCAGTTCTCTGTGAGAGGCGGGGCGCCTCACAGCCCAATGCCCATTGCGCCATCACCTTCCCTCCCTGCACGAGTCCAACACACGCCCTTCACCGCCCTTCCTTCAGACTGCCCTGACACATGTCTCCTCCTGCGCCTCCTACTTCTCCTGCTCTTCCCCTCACCCCTTACCCCGCTAGAATCCCCCCCTCACACCTGGGGCTCTGCGCTCCCTGCCCCCTCATGCCCCCTCATGCTCCGAGGCGCCTCGTCGACGCGCGTTGGTTGGCGTTTACCTTCCCCCCATCCCCCTCCGCCATCCCCCCACGGATTTTCCCACGCCATTCTTGAAAACACCGCTAAAAGACAAGTGGATGCTGGCCAGCACGAGGATGCAGACAACGCATGCCGCCCCCACGATCGCGAGCGCGAGCGCGGTGGGGTGCATGCGCGGCGCGCCAAGGATGGCGGCAAAGAGCGACCCGCGGGAGGCGGGTTTGCGCCCATGCGCGGAGATGTGCGCCGCTGCGGATGGGGGCGCTCGCTGCAGCGACGAGGCGGGGGACTGGTGTTGGCGCGGCCGGCGCTTTGTGGTGCTGAAGGGTGCGGCACGGTGCACGCGGATGTGAAGCGGTGATGATGACATGGCGACGGCGACGGAGTATCGTGCGCTCGGCAGGGGGAAATCCGCGCGCGCCCGTCCACGTGTCACTTGTCTGCGTTGCGTCGGCTCGCTCGCGACCGAGGAGAGCTCAAGAGGTCGGGCGATGTGAGGAAGCGACGAGAGAGGCCGCGCGCTCTCACGGTTGCGAATGAACGAAACAAGTTGACCTAAGCGGTTAGCAAAGCCGACGCGCTGTGGTGGTGGATGAAAGGAAGCGGCGAGAGGGCTACGAAGAGCCCGTGAGTGGATCCGAGAGTCACCTTGCGGCGACTGTCTACGATACGAGAAACGACGTCGACTGCCGACGTGACGAGATCGGAATGGCGGATGGAAAAGGTGGTACTGGCATACGCGAAAGTAGGCTCCGAGCGAATAAAAGGATCGATGCTGATTGCCAGGAGCTCTAGGACGTGCACGTTCGTGCGCGTTCCTGACATTGCAGTTATGTCCGTTGCAGCTTCAGTGCTGGCAAGAGCTGATTGCGTTGTGAGGCAGCGTTGGCCAACTTCTGTTACCACTCTCCGCGAACATGCACGAAGCCACTCTCAGCCTTGCTTGCGAACATTTGCTTTCTGGCTCAAACGCATCTCACCCGAAACAAATACGAGCAGGGGAAACGCGAATCGATCTAATGGCCCTCGCTGCTATCAGCCCTTCGCGCCGTCCCTTACGGTGACCGAAACTCCCGTCGACAGTCTCGAAGCAATCCAAAGGGCGACTGCCATGTTACTTTCGATTCTAAGCATGAACGACACGCGACGATCGACCCTGAGAATGAACGCGACGTGTCCATCCGTAAGCACGCCTGCCACGTGTCGGTTTATGCTTGTCGTCTAGATCGACTTGTCGTGTTTGAAAGCTCATCGCCGCGCTTACCCGTCCAACCGACGAAGCTCTTCTGGTGACGCTCCTCCCTTCGTCACTCGCGACACGCCATACCCGCTAATGGCATCCGCCTCTAACGCGTACAAGCACGACAAGGCGCTGCAGGCGGCGCACCAGCAGCATCTCAAAGCGCTCCTCCGCGCGCCGGGCAACGACTCCTGCGCCGACTGCGGCGGGCGGTTCCCGCGCTTCGCGTCGGTGTCGCTGGGCGTGTTTCTGTGCAACCGGTGCTACGGCATCCGAAGCATCGGCGTGCACGTGACGCGCACCAAGTGCGTCGAGCTCGACGCGTGGAGCGACCGCGAGGTCGCCGCCATGCGCGCCATGGGCAACCGACGCGCCGCCGCCATCTGGCAGGGTGAGCGGTGGGCTGTCTACGAGGGGGGAGCGTGAGGGTTGGGAGGGTGAGAGGAGGGAGGGTGAGAGGAGGGAGGGTGAGAGGAGGGAGGGAGTCAAGATTGAAGCGCGATGGGATGGGGTTCACTCTGCTCTTGTTTCGTAGCATTCACTTCCGCCCCACTCGTCCGCTCTCCTCTCTCTTTCTCCTCGTCTCTCGCCTCCTGCGCTTTCCAGTCCCCTGAAGCGTTGCTTTGCCGGATCGCTTCATGCTACTTTTTCCCCCTGTGTTCCCCCCCCCCCCCCCCCCCCCCCCCCCCCAATTCCCCCCTCCATTCCCCCTCTCTCCCGCCCCTCTCTTCTCCTCCTCGCTCTTCTTTTCTTCTACCCTTGTCTGCATTCTCCGCCATTTCTCGCCCATATCCGCTGCTCTGTGGTCGCTCCCTCCACTTGCACCCCTTGTACCCCTCTCCCCTGCCCTTCTCTCCACTCTCACTGTCTCACCACACGTGCTGACTCCACCCCTCGCCCTGCCAACCAGAGTGAGAGCCCCCACATCACTGCCAACCAGAGTGAGAGCCCCCACATCACTGCCAACCAGAGTGAGAGCCCCCACATTGCTGTCAATGAGTGCCTTTTCGTGCTCCACACAAGTCCGCCCGCTGCTTCTGCCACTCCTCTCTCGCTGCATGCTCCCTGCCTCTCTCGCTGCATGCTCCCTGCCTGCCGGAGCGACAGCGCACACATGAGCGCCAGTGGATGCGTTGGAGGCTCCGCACCACTGCTCTCGCTACTTCCCCTTCACCCCTCCCTCCCCGCAGGCACACTGCCAGCGGGAGTGAGGGCGGCCACGGGGGTGTCACAGGTGCCGTGGAGGCGAGGCTCTTCCATTGCAGCAGTGCCCATGCGCTACTCCCACCCCTCCCCCCATCGCCGCAGGCACACTGCGAGCGGGAGTGAGGGCGCCCACGGCAGCCTCATCGGATGCGGAGGTGGAGCGGTGGATTCGAGACAAGTACGAGCGCCGCCTCCATTACAACCCCGCTGCTGCTGCCGCTGCTGCTGCTGCTGCTGCTGCATCTGCTGCTGCTGCTCCCTCTCCCCCTGCGGCTGCGCCTGCCACTGCCTCCCCTCCCTCCACCAGCCTGTCCACTCCTTGGTCCGCCTTCCCACACGGCCCCGCCGCCTCAACCACACACTGCCTCCCCGCCTGTCCCCTGCAGCCCACCTCAACGCCGCCACCCGGTGCAGCATGGGCACCCAGTGGTGCGAGTGGCAGCAGCACAGGCGGCACGGTGCATGCACGGCAAGGCGTGGATGCAGTCAGCTCAGCGCACTTGATGTGTCCACCCCCTGCCACCACAGCAGGCGGTGCAGCCCATTATGAGCAGCACACCCTCACAGCTGCTGGGGCCCCTGAAGGGCTTATCGGCCATGCTGCTAGTGCTGGCTCTGGAGGCAGCCGTGCCAGCAATGTTCTTCCAATATCAGTTGCCAGCAGCAGCAGCAGCAGCAGCAGCAGCAGCAGCAGCAGCAGCAGCAGCAGCAGCAGCATGAATCATGGCCCAAGTAAGCAGGCAGTTGCTCCTCCAGATCTAATTGACTTTTCTCAGTGGTAATGTCAGGGCCGTTGTTCCACATGACAGATATGGTTGTATGTAAGGTTCTGCTCAGAAAGCTTTGCTCTTGAAAGTTAGCAATCAGACCGTAAGGGGTACAGATTCCGTCCACCGCCAATCAGCTTGCTGGCTGGGTAGTGAAAACCGACCACCATATAGGGTATGCGTAGCTTTAATGGTATTGAACAATGGTAGTGTTTTTGCGCTTCACGATAATGAGAGAACTTATACCAGGAGTGAACAATCTACCGTAAATGAGTGTGACAAAAATCGTTTTACACACATACGGTAGCCTTCAATGTGTCTGATGTAAGAACCTCAATCGAGGCCTTCCTACACACTGTTACGAGTGCAATTGAGCGAGCGAGCGAGAATTGCACTATCGAAGCAAAACAGTACATCGAGCGAAAAGATGAGCGAAGATTATATAGCGAAGCTACAACGGTAACGGTAACTCAGTGTGGGAGGTGCGCAACGGGCCTGTGACTAAGGTCGGGACTGAGGTCGAGAAATGTCGAAGCGGAGGCCAGAAGCGCGGGTTACCATCCGAGCCGTGAGGTCGGGTTGCAACGGGTGTAGTGGCGGGAACGCGGTCGAGGCGAGTGTCGCGAGTGGTAACGGTGCACAGTGTGGCGGGAACAATAGTGTACGCGTTAAGCAGGGGTGCGGAGTAAGGAAAGGGAATTTTCCTTACACTACCCTCCCCCCTCCCCCCTAAGGAGGCCCTCCTTACGAGAGTGCATGCACATCCCGGAAATTTCGCCTCCATAGACACTCGGTGAGGACAGGGTGGTTCTCGATTCTATCCAGGGGTACCAAGTTGTCTTCGGTGGGCGTGCGGTCTTTCGACCGAATCAGGAACTCGATCCTGCGAGCTTCATGTGGATCACGAACGCGGTGGCATGGTATCTTTTCGGGTGTGATAATTGGCTCTGTTGGTGGTCGTGTCATGCTGGCTGGGCGGTTGCGAGGCAGTTGGTGTCAAAACAATATAATGCTTATGTTGTGTAGGCTGTAGTGGGGTAGCCCATAAGGGGTACAACCCAATTAGGGTTAGTACTTGTACTCACTTTGATCTCAATGCAATCATCCCTTTTCGTATTCTAACATGGTTTCAGAGCAGGTCCTGTTCCAGGACCGTTTTTTTTAGGGCCCACCGAATAGTTCCCTGCCCGTAGCGCATTACGCTGCCCGTAGCGCCCTACCCTGCCCATCACACTGCCCCACCAGTCGCGCTGCCCAACCCTGCCCGGGAGCCGCCCTGTTGGCTGTCGCGCCGCCCTGCTCTGCCCGTCGCGCCGCCCTGCTGGCCGCAGTCGCCCTCCCCTGCGCGTCGCGTCACCCAAGGGCCCGCGCGCCGTCCCTGCCCGGCCCATCGCGCCGCCCCAGTGCCCGCGCGCCGCGCTGTTGGCAGCGCGCCGCCCCGTCCTGCCTATGCGCCGCCCTGCCCTAGCCGTGCGCCGCCCTTCCCTGGCCGTGCGCCGCCCCGCCCTGCCCTGCGCGCTTCCCTAGTGCCCGCGCGCCGCCCTGCCCTGCCCTACGCGCTTCCCTAGTGCCCGCGCGCCGCCCTGCCCTGCCTGTCGCGCCGTCCTGCTGCCTGCGCGCCGCCCTGCCTTGCCTGCGTGCTGCCCTGCTGACTAGTCGCGCGCAACCTTGCTCTGCCCGCTATGGCTTTTCTTAATGTTCTCACCTTCGATTTTGAGGGCCGTCCCATCCAGTTTGAGACCTGGCTAGAAGACTTACAACTGTACCTACAGAGCAAGTCTAGGGACGGCGTCTCCTTGTTTGACCACACGTCTGGGACCTCTCTCGCTGCTGACAGTGCGACTCTCTCACAGTGGCTTACCCGTGACGCTACTGTTGAAGACTAGAGACAAGAAATGAGTGGGATTGAAAGAAGCAATAGTACAAATATGAAACCCTAGTTGGGGTGGTACCCCATATTGGCTACCCCACTACAGCCTACAAACATATAACAGAGTTATACTTTGACACACCCCCATAGGCAAAGTGGGGGAGAGCAAGGGGTCACAAGACCAGTCAAGCAAAGCAAAGAACAAGCTCAGGGTGGATCACAATGTCACCACACTCTCTGAGCACAAGCAGAGGCCACAAGGCCAGTTCACATGCAGGTTTAGTCATAAAAAAGAACACAAGTAGTACAGTAATCAAAGCCTAGCAAGTGCAAGCATGCAAGGAAAAATATATATAGCTCACAGTACAAGCAAAGTCAAGAAGTGAGCAAGTGAGAGAGCGTGGGCACAAGGCCTAACACAGTGCAGTGCCGCTGATGATCACTAGGCGGAAGCGCCTTGGTGAATATATCAGCAGTGTTGACCTTCGAGTCCACGTACGCAAGGCGAAGCTGGCCACGCTGCTGCAGCTCTCGAGCCAGAAAGTAACGAAGAGCAATGTGCTTCGTTCTGTGCTCCAGTCTGTGCTCCTGACACAAGGCAAGAGCTGCCTTGTTGTCGCCGTACAGAACTGGAGGAGAACGAGGCCGCTCACCCAGGTCAGTCAGCAGGTAGGTGAGCCAGCGAAGCTCCTGTGCAGCCATGGCCGTGGCGTAGATCTCAGCCTCACAACTAGAGTTGAGAACCGAAGAAGAGCGAGTGGAACGCCAAGAGACAGAACCAGAGCCAAGGCTGAAAGTGTAACCCTGTGACGACCGCTGCGTAGCCAGGTCGTTAACCCAAGAGGCGTCTGACTGGCCAGTGAGGACTACCGAGCCCTGTCCTCCAAGCACCAAACCCATGCCTGATGTACTGCACAAGTAGCGTAGCACCCTCTTAGCAGCCTCCCAGTGCTCTCGCCTATGTCTCCCAGGTGCGACGAAGCGAGCTAGGATGCTAAGAGGGTACGCAAGGTCAGGTCGAGTGCAGGTCATCAGGTACATGAGGTAGCCCACAAGCTCTGGGTACGGACCACTCGGCTCTACGGACTCGTCCGAAGGTGGAGCTGAGAGCGAGTGGCTGGTAGCCAGAGGAGTAGACTGAGGTGAGGAGAACTGGAAGCCGAAGCGCTGAAGGACCTGCTGCACCATGTGTGACTGAGTCAGGGTGATGGTGCGGCGTGCTCTGTCCCGGGTGATCTGCAAGCCAAGGTAACTGCGCAGCTCACCCAGGTCTGTGCACGTGTGTCTCTTCTGCAGCTCCGACTTCACAAGAGCAAGTGCCTCAGTGTCAGCAGTAGCAAAGACCAAGTCGTCGACGTACACGAGGATGTAGAACGGCGGCAGCGACGTGTCTGTGCGCAGGAACAGTGAAGGGTCTGCAGTGGAGGGAGCAAACCCAAGAGCCGCTAGTGTCGTCCTCAGTGTGTCGTGCCACTCACGTGGCGCCTGGCGGAGACCGTAAACTGGCCGTCGGAGGCTCCACTGGGTACCAGGAGGGAACGACCCAGTGAAGCCAGGAGGACGGCGCAGCCAGATCTCCTCGT